TGTTTGTTGCATTCTTTACATATATGTAAAAACAAAGAATTGCTGATCGGAAAAAAGGGATTAGATCTTCATTAATGTGCTATTCTTCGTCTTTCTTTTTTCTTTTAATTTCTACCTACCTTTATGAATTATGAGCAAATTACTAAAATACCACTTCTTACATATTATTTTCTTGATTGGTTTTATTTTCTTAGGAGTTGAATCATTTACTCCTGAAGGTCGTTTGGCTCACTCCTCTATACTTGTAGGAGAAAAACTTTATTTTTTTGGTGGAACTTCGTTGGTTGATCCTCTAATTAAAAAAGAATTTTTTTATCTTGATGTATCTCAACCATTTGATAAATCAAATATACCATGGGTTTACCATACTAGCCTTCCGTTTGGAAGCATATGGACAACTGTTGCATTGAATGGTATAAATAATGATCCAAATATTTATTTATTTGGAGGCTTTAAGCGCGATGATGATCAAACTGATTCAGTTACTTCAATTATACATCGTTTTAATGTAAATTCCTCAACATGGAGTATACCTCCTTTTAGCGGAATTGCGCCTGAAAACCGAAGAGAAATGAAGGCAGTTGGCAATAATGGAAAGCTCTTTATTTTTGGTGGAGGTACAGATAAATCATTTGGTTCCCCGACAACCAAATTCTTTAATGAGATGATCATTTTTGATACTGTCGGTTTAACTTGGACAACTATTTCTCCAATTGACGCACCTAGAAAACGAGTTTCATATACAGCAACATTATTACCGAATGGTGTTATTGTGTATATTGGAGGTTATGAAATTAAGGATAACGCAAACAGCAATCATGTAGATATTAAACAAATTAATCTTTTTGATACAAATACTTTAACCTGGTCATTAAAAGTACGTATGAATGCTGTTCTAAACGATTAAAAATCTTCTTTTATTTTTAATTTTAAATGTTTATGATTTATAGATGGCAAGACTTACAAGTTCGATTGATAATCGTAGTGGTCATTCAGCTGTATTAGGTATTTATAATATAAGCTTTTGAATTTATTATACTGTATATTGTAAATTCATTTTTAATATTTTTTATTTGTTTGATTAAAAGCCCCAGATGGTAAAATCATTATTTATGGAGGATCCAAAGTAATTGGTAATATTTTAGATGCTCGAGTTGTCCCAGACATTGTTATATTGGATACGAAAAAAGAACTCTTTGAATGGAGTGAACCACTGGTAACTTCAAATGTTGGTACGGTTCCATCTCTTATAGCTCATACTGCTGATCTCGTTGGAAATTACATGATTGTGGCTTTTGGTGAGTAAATTTTTTGCATTACTTTATAGAAAATGTTGTTTCAATCTTTAATTATTTATTTTATGATAGGAAATATTACACAATCCAATTCCAATCCACTGGCACAACAAAATTCTGAAATCTATTTAATGGATATAAGAAATTATACATGGGTAAATACGTTTGCTGAACCGATTAAACCGAAGAACAAAAATACAGCAACCCCTGTAAAAATTGCAATAGCAACAATTTGTGCAATTATAGGTGCTGGTATCCTTTTCGGTTGTGGATTTTTTATTTATAGATGGCAAAGAAATAGGAGGGAACTCCAGGAGGATCGACACCTTAGTATACCTAGCACAATTGTTTCTGAAAGCAAAGTCTAAATATTAATGTTTTATAAGAAGTTAAAGATGTTAATTGATCGAGAATTACGCAACTTGGGATATCTCTAAATATTATTAATTTATTTATTTAAACAGAGAAATGAGTATTAATTTTATAAG